AAACCTCCAGGGTGTACACAGTTTAATACTGGCAACTTCTAATTGTGGGAAATACGAAAACGTCTTATAAAGAGACGTGCCATAGAACATGTTGCGAAACACACAATAGCCAGCATGTGTAGTTCTGGGGGGGGGTTTCCCATTCCATTTCATAGAGCTGTGACGCTCAGCGTAACCTTGTCGCACTGCCACTCCAACATCCAATCACAGGGCTTGATGACTAATCACGGGGTTTGTAAAGCAAGGCGGATGTTGTAGTCCCAAACGATAGCTGGGGATTCTGGGTAGTGTAGTGTCTTCGGAAACTGTAGTGTTTAAACCCCGAAAAAACTATTTTTTTCTTTGAATCGAAGGTTAAAAACACAAAAGCATTGTACACAATTTAAACCAATCAATATTGTGTAATTAACAAGGATAAACTGATGTTTTTTAGTGGATGAGTAATGCAGATATCACTGTGTAATCATTTGACAGTGAGGGGAATATATCCGGTTTTATTATGAAAACTTCGAGACCGGAAAACCTGTTTTCACCCACACTAACTTTACATGGAAGCTGCATACACGTTCTCCTGGCGAGACCTCAAATCATCTTCGTAATATCTATCAAACTATAGATCCTACACATCGACTGGACGTGGATTCTAAGAGTACAGTATACATTTCTCGCCAGAAATAGAATCAAAAAGCATTTTAATGGCCAAACTATTCCACAATTTAGGATTTTCCAGAGAGGGTTATTTGTGAATAAACGTCCCTCCGGAGCGTTTGCAATGAACGGGCCGGGAGCATGTTGTTTCTTACACGACCACTAGAGCACCTCTAGTGGTCGTGTAAGAAACAACATACACTTTAAAACGTGTCTCTGGGTCGTAATAAGGGCATGAACAATCGGCCTATATGGTTGTTTTTTGTAGGAGGACAGGCTGTTATGCTAATGTCACTCTCCTGTGACATGTTTACATAATGTTATGTTCAAAAAGTGCTTTATTTTTGTCTTTGATAACCCTCTGTCTGAAACCAGAGCCCAGTCTGTTCTGATTAGTTAGCTGGCTGGCTCTGTTATGATAGGTCAACTACTTAGAGATGTACCGTCCCTTAGGGCATTTCATGAAGACAAATCTATATAATCTATATAACACACAAAGGGAAAACTAAAAAAAAGCATAATAAGGGCTTAATTTAATGGTCTTCGCCAAACAGGTGGAATATATAGGAGGATATCACCACTTAAAGGGGACCTATCGTGCAAAATGCACTTTTGTACATCTTTTATACATGAATATGTGTCCCCTGTGTGTCAGGGAACTCACCAAGTGTCAGGAAACACAACCCTCTCTCTTTTCCTCCATACCCAAATCTCTAAAAACGGGGCTGCAACGGAGCTGATACAGACTGATACAGATTTGAAATTGTTCTGACGTCAGAAACGGGGAGCTCCGCCTATATGGTCAACTCTCCACCTATCAGGGGAATGAGAGGTTGCGTGGCATGGTAACAGCATGGTAACAGCATGGTAACATGACGCTCGTGCCTCGCCCCCCTTCTTTGCAGGGGGGCGTGGTCAGCTGCAGCTCATTTGCCACAGAATCAGCCCTTGCAAAAACAGGGCTGGAATAGAGCAAATAGAGCGAAATGAGGCATGGCTAAAATGCATGATCTGTTTGGTATTTTGAAAAAAAAAAAAAAACTACAAAAATGTCCTCAAATGAACAACAACAACAACAAGCTCCGTATGTGTTTTTGGAACTGAATAAAGCAAAAACTAGTGATAATACAATTCTAACAAACAATGAGTTGGTGTTTGAACAAATGCAGAAACGCTCAGATAAACCAAATCAAAGTATCAGATAATCACAAAGAATGTTTTGAAACAATCTATTCGGCACCCTTCTCCTTCCTCTATCTTCTCTCCAACTACCTCACCACTCGCTTCCTGTGCCTTCATCTCCTCTGTCTTCCATGTGAAGAGGTGGGTGGATGTGTTCCATGTTGCTGTGAGCTATATGCAGATCTGTGTGTGCTTCTCTGCACCTCCAGGAAGCATTTGTACTCATTTAGTATGTCAAGACATGAGGAGAGAAACTGTCACCACATCTCAGAGTTGCTGTTCTTTACATTGGCTTCCCATAGAAGCACATCATTAATCCATGTGTAGATCCTCGAAGCTAAACTTCCAACCATCTATTCCTGAGTTTCAGGACTCAAATCATCTTCCAGGCAGAAAACAGAAAGCCTCTTCAAACGAGTTGGCTCTTTTCCTCTTCTCGTTTTTCTGCACTGGTTTACTTCTCTGTTGTTCTCTAATTTGGTTCAACGAGGCAATTGTGCCGTGTAACTTTCAAAAGCTTTGTTAAATATTAATAATGGGTTTCATCGCCTCAGTCAAATCTTTACTCATTCCACCACAACAAGGCACATTTCTGCCTCACTAAAAAAGAGAGGGGAGAAAAGAAGGAGACAGCGTGAAGTGTGTGTCCTTGGAGCAGCTATTAGACTATCTGTTTGAAGCTAACGGAGTAATGGGCCTCTCCGGCAACTGCTGATCAAGGTGAAAGAGGGCCGGATTTAGAGTTCTTTCTTACCTTTCAGATGTATGATGCATCAAAGACAGACACATGCAGGAAAGCCTTAGCACGAATAAAGACACCCCCATCGTGGATTGGATTTTGACACACAGTAATTACAAGTTATGGATCTAAATGACCACACACACTTTCTAAAGATAGTCATATTTGGAGAAGATTAAGCATGCAGTTGCTTTGAAGGTGGAGGCTACACGCAGATACACTAACAAACGCTCATTGGAAAATAAGATGATTCAAAGATATGCCCTCAATATTTGCTCTCAGCACATTAATAACAATAAAACTGTGAGATTTTTTACTGCTGTGGTTAAATAGCTTTGTTTAAAATAACAGCGCCGCATCAATAAAGACACACAATTAGTGTCATCTTTGCACCTTTTGGTGGCTGATAAGCTGGCAATAGGACAGTATGAGTAACAGTCGGATTGATGCATTTTTTTATTTCTCCGTCACAGCTAACAACAGAGCAAGAAGTGATATATCTATAGAAGTTTGGATGGGTGAAAAGTACCGTAGAATGTGATCACAGTCGCTTACCTACTTAGCTGGGGACAATTCATTTTCTGAATTACCCTTAATGATATATAAGCATTTATATTTTGTTTTAATGTTTTGCCTTGGCATGATTCTATCCCAAATTCCAATGCAGTAGAGGTGAGTGAAGATTTGTTTGAGGTCCTCACATTTCAAAGAAGTTATTTTACACCACTGAATATCAGCATGTGTGATGATCATCATAGCTTTGATCCTCTGCCCTTACCCGATTTGGCCTGACTCGCTGGGTTTTAATAGTTGGTCTTGTATTTAACTTTCATTTTGATTTGCTATATTCAAAGCTTTGTACAGGCAATGGCAAATGCACTCCATTCAAATTGAGCATGCACATCATAGCCACTCGTTTTTTTTTGTTGTCCTCACATCCTCATCCTTTGAGCCATTCGGTCATTCTTGTTGTAATGCAGCAATTTTATAACAGTCCTGTTAAATCTGGAACATGGGCTGAACTTTAGCAGATTGGAATGGATGTTCTTCTCATGGCTGTTTCTGTCGGTATACACAGAACAAGTTTTTTAACCTACGCCTCAAACTCTTTTTTTTTTACATTAACACAGCTGTTTATACTGGGCATGTAACACCTTGCATTTTACACTCTATGTACATAACTTTAGCCACTAGCATATTTATATAACATATTACATTTGTTGTGGGACTTATGCGTTCACCTATATACATTTTGTGTATAGCTGTGGGCAAGCTAAAAAGCCATCAGTACAGCAGATGTTTGGCTGAGAGCATTGAGGACAGAAAGGTCGGCTGCCCGCAGGAAAAATCTAGCAAATTCATAATCTGGTGGCGACAAATTCAATAATCGCAAGGGGGCACGAGTCCGTTACTGTCCGTCTTTCACCCTCCGTTGGAATACATGACCTCAGTTCTGTGTTAGTTTCACAATATTTGAAGATGTACACACACAGGGTGAGACAAGTTCAACTCATGTGGCAGCGAACAGAAGGTCAACATCCAAAGCCTAACACTCAAAGCATTGAGGAAATTCACAGCAACTGTTAGCAAACCACTGAAAAATAATAAAACAATACCATGGCCTTAAAGCACCTCTTCTCATATCCTCAGGATGCATAATGTATAATCTTCCAAAAGTAGAAAATGATGTATGTATGATGGTGGAGCGGATCAAACAGCCGCCTGTTCTAAAATGCCATTGTGTATTGCCTTGTGATGGTCATAGGACTTATAATTAAAGCCTGCCTCCCCCTCAACTAGGACAGAATAGACACATGTGGCAGCATGGACATTCACTGTGACACCACTAGTAAGTGCCAAGAGAGAGAGAAATAAGAGTAAGGGTTGGGCAAAGGGAATACAATATGATGGAGAGGAAGTTTAAGGAGTGGGAGGAAGGATGAAGAATGATCCCTGACTGTGCTTGTCTTATGAGAGGCATCCATCAGCAGTGACACCGGGACAAATAAAACCCTTTTCCCCATATTCAATTATATAGTGTGCGGCAGGTTTTTACACACTAGTGCACACACGCGGTGACATACACGCTCAACACACAAGCGTACAGACACACATATTTGCACTTCTGATACATGTGTGTGCAGCGCATTCCAATCTAATGCGATTTATATTTAGCATCATTCTCACAGAGGATTTTTAATCTCTACTGATGAAGATGTATTGCACAATAGCTGCACTTTATGTTTGATAAAAGCTGACAGTTCAATGACATAGAATAAGAAACAATGGAGGACCAAGTCGCAGCTGCGGCATGCATGCACAGACTCCCACGCAAATTACAATTGGACATAAACTCAGAGACGAATATTGAAACTGGCTGCTACAAACTTTAGGCACAGAAACAAAAATTGTGATTGTAAGCGGAGCTCACCTGTTGGAAGGGAAAACGGGGACATCTGAATCCTGTAGGGCAGCTGGCTCGATACGCCTGGGCTACAAAATGCTGGAGGAAGAGAGGAGATTAAAAAGTGATTAGAATAATACAAGTGATTGAATGATGGGGAGGGAGAGAAAGGTGAGCAAAAAGAAAGATAAATAATATGTCAGAGGATGAGAAAGAAGGAATCAATGTTGAGCTAGTTTGAAAGCCAAGAAAGTGTCAATGAGGAGTTGGTCTGAGTTATTCCTTTTCGCAGATAAACAGTCTCACCAGGTTCATCTTTGCCTTGGCAACCCAATGAATAAGTTAAGAGATGAATTTAGTGAATTGTCTGCGTGTAATATTTCAGAAAACACAAAGGAACAGCAGAGCAAAAATGCTGCAACACTTTCAGGAAAGCAATTTGGACAAATTGCTTTGGAGGGTTTCCGTAAAGAAAGGTAAGAAACAACTCTGCAATATCAAAGAAATGACATTAGTCATAAAAGAGTCCTATAAAGTTGTCTTGTCACAACGGTATGGGCGACTGCTCGAGTCTCTTGCTGTTATTTAAAGGTTCCATTTCTTAAATGAAAGCTGAACTGAATTGGAGAGTGTATTTCTACGTATAAATGCTTTTCCTAAAGTCATTTTGGCTTGCAAACTTATTTGACCAAAATTGTATTCAACAAAAAGAAGAGTTTTGCTTTTGATTATTATCTAAAAACATATATATCTAAAAATCAAGGTATCTTAATGCATCTGTTCAAATTCCCTAAGGTCACTTCCCACAGGCAGTTCACCAGCGTTGTACCATGTGCTGCGTGAGCATTCCTTATGTTACGTTGTGTGCGTTCGTAAACAGTCTCTCCCTGTGGACTCATTCTTACATTTGGATATTCAGAGCGCTACCCTCTCGCAGCAGCAGCAAGAGTCATCTGGGTTCCCTGTCTGAGGAGAGGCAGCAGCACAGCCAAGTGCACTGAATGTTAATGAACAGATGAAATGGCAGGAAGAGTCCGAGCCAAATGCAACAGCTGTGGACTGATGTGCGGATTAAATGAAAATGACATAATAAAACATTTAGTTAGCTGGCTAAGTAGGTAGCAATTTAACTTACTCCTGTTATTAGCTATGCATACGTTTCTAACTTATTTTGATAGGCATATTGTCACAGTCATATAACGACCGTTTCTTATAGTATCATCAAGACTCAAGAGGAGCTACATTTTGTAATTGGCTAAACATATCAATAGGAAATCATTTATTTTACCAATTTGTTAACATGGCATATTTATTCAAACTACAGCACTCAAAGTGTCTGATTAGATAGACCAAAATACCCATTATGTACATTTCTCTATGTTGTGATTGATATCTCACAATAAAAGTGCTAAGGACACCTGTTGCCAGCAAACATTTATTTTAACTGCAAACTAGACTATCTTGATTCTACATAGAAGTTAAAAACAATTTATTTTAATTACCGACGAATGGTCCTCTCAAATGTTTAATATTTTTAAGTGGCAGCTTAAATTGTATACCCTGCATCCCCCAATTTACAAAATGATTATCATGCAGTGTTGAAAACGTAAATCAGACTACAAACTAATCATGGATATTATTCACCATGCCCATCCAGAGGTTAAGTGTTTTCACCTAAGAGTCCACCAACTAATTACTCTGATCTTGTTTTGACAAAAGGAATAATGTACACAATAGCCGCACTTTCATAACAGATTGTATTTCCTCTCACAAGGAATGGGACAAAAGGGGAATAGAAATTTGAGTTTGAATAAATGCTTTTAATAAAGCCCCTATGTGTAAAATTAGGAAACTCAATTTATTTTTTACAAGGACACTAAAATATCACAACAATTCTACAAATAGCAGCTTTAAATATTAAACGTACAGTAAAAACCATTGAAGAGGCAAAGCAGTCTATATCTGCATCTTTAGATCGCAGTAGCCCTATTAAATGTAACCTTTGTGCCATATTAGATAATTGAAAAACCATTATAAAACCATCATGACACCATTACCACTTCTACACATGAACAATCTCAGCAATGAACCATTCCAATGCCTGCACCGTAATGGTCTGGTTGGTTTATATACATAGTGCCATAAGCAACAGGTCTTAGTCGTGTCTATCCGTCTTTATTCCGTTTTTTGAAAGATGCAAAATAAAGTGGTTGTGTGAGTGACTGAAAAACATGATTTCCTTTAGCTTCATTACCCTGCTTATTGCAAACTTAGCCTTTGATGTTGCCAAAACAACACTTTTAGTAACCTTAAGCGCAATGATGAATAGCTTTCTGCTCTTACGGGCCTGTAATACCACACCATTATACTGAAATCAAAGTGAAAAGTTCAATGTTTTTTATTTTATAATTGTCGTCATTAATCAAGGTTTGTATATGTTGATGGGCTGTAAATTACATCAATCATAAAATCACATTTCGAGCACAGAGGTGGGCAAATTAGCTAATTAGAGATCCAATTGACAATTGCAGTGAAGAGGCAATTCATCATTAATGATATTGCCGCTTTGTCATTTGCATTTGGGCTTGAGAGTAAAATGTCTTGTGATGCCAGGCGCTCACTCATAGCACCTTCCTCCACCTTCGAGCATCTGAAAATGATGCGTGGGCGGGGGGGGGGGGTTCATCCAATACAGAGTGCGGACTGAAAAGTAAGCTAAGCCAAAAACTTCAACACTTGGCAACTTATCTTTGTGTCAGTAATACAGCTTTACGAGACCCTGTAAGTATGTCACGATCTTTTTGTGCAGTGAGAATCCCACTTATTGTATTCTTAACTGTCTTACCGGCATATTTTATGTTTTTCTATGGGGGTTTTATCTCCTAAATATTTCATTTGAAGCTCAGAGAGGTCTCAGGTGTGTACTGAGACTGAAGGTGTTAACATGTGGGCTGCTATAGAGAGAGAGCCAGAGATTTCCAGATTATGAACAAACACATTGATTGCACCTATAACCACATCTGTGTCTCTCGTGCCCACCTCAAAACCAATCTATGGATCTCTCAGGCTTCCTCTATGCTAACTATCTTTCCACCCCTTAGAAACAGTCAAACCATAATAGACTGCATTTTGTAAGGGCTTACAAATACCTTCTGACACAAAACCATACTTTGTTGCCTGGTTACAATATGTATAATTCCCCAATTTGATGCCGAACGAGCTCATATAAGGTCAGCTGAACATGAGGCTACACTGAAGCTAACACCAGCATGAAAAGGTTAGATATGCAAACACACACTTAAAGTGGTTCAAATGAAAAAGCTTGAAGAACTAGTGTGTACGGTGATGTAATTCATGGGTCATATCTGCTCCTGCGCTGATATGAATGCTCACATGGATTTATGCACACAGACTCAGAGACTTGAAGGAGGGAAAGGCCACCTGCCGGAGAATGACAACAGACCTGTGTAGCCTAGCAACAGCTCAGAGACAGGCTTATTTGCTGGAGGAAGAGGGAAGAATGCAAGAGAGAAAACGTTGGCCTGTGTCTCCGCAACTCACACACTTTCACATGCTGGAGGGCACTCTCACATGCCTCCAAATGTGCACCGTTTCTGAAGATCGCACATTTGCAACAGACCATCAATCAGGATGTTAAACTAAACAATGTGGCCACTTGCTTCCTCTTTCTCCGCCTGACAACAACATTTTTAATTGTCAATTTGTTGCTGTTTTTTTTCATTTGGATGCTGTAGCACCCAACTGCCAGCATAGGTATGTCAACTCCCTGACACAATACCAGGAGCTTCACTTAATTGCTCTCTCTTAGAGGTATCTAATATCCAGGATTTGATTACTTAGAGAGGAGTGGTTTAAATCAATGATAAACAACAATTAGGATGGGCTAGTGAAAAGTTAGTAGAATAAAACACTCAGGATTCAGAACATATGTGTGACCTTGGGTCTACCTGAGAGGCTTTGGTGATTTTTAAAGAGAAACACAGATAGTCACGATCACCCATTCACAGCACATTCTCATCCACATGCCTACGCTTGATAAAAAGCTCTTACGGTCTCCTTATCTGATTTTTTTTCCCACTACCCTTTCTCTCTTTCTTGTTAAACTTTAATAGCAGAATATTTAGGTTACGGTTAGCACGAGAACAAGAACAGCCAGGTGTGTGTGAACCACAGCCTCTGTGTGAGATAAGGCAATTACGGAGAAAAATATTTTTAAATGTGTCAGTGACTGAAATGGTCCTCATATCTTTTTCACACTCCATATAAACATTTTCTTGCATCCCTGCATCAGCTGTTTTGCTGCCAACAATACAACTTTTAAAGTCTCCCTCCATCACCGTCACACACTTTACTAACTCTCTCTGTCTGCCCTTCTCTTTCTCTCTCTAACTCAGGCTTGCCTCCTTGCATCTAATCTCTCAGTTGACACCAAGAGACCCCATATTGCCACTTCCACCCAGGGGGAATGTGCGTTGCAGCTACAGTAATTATCCTCCTGGATTGGAAGTGCGGAGGCCAAAGGGGCAAACCTTACAGCGCAGTAAGCCTTGCTGTCACTGTCACCGCCACACAGGAAAAAAAAAAAAAGCTTTCCAAATTTAAATAGGTCGTAGACGGAAAGGGCACAGTGAGGAGAGATTGAAAAAGAGGAAAAAAATAGAGATGTATTAATATATTTTCCGTTTTTACACTGAGGGACATAAATATCCTGCTTAACTGACACTGCAAACTCCCCACTGACAACACACACAGAAAAGTGTTAAAATAATGGCAGGGAAAGAGCTCTTTCATCATTTGTTTGTTTGAGTAAGAGCATTCTGTTAGACAACTTAAAAAAGCTCCTGGTAATACAAATGTTTTTCTCTGTTTCCACAGATGCAATGTTTGGACCTCTGCAGAACAGAGAGGTGCGGATACAGTTTCAAAATACTCCACGTCCTCTTCCACACTGCCCATCAACACTTTGTTGCAAGATCCTTAAAGAATAGTACAAAAATCTAATGTACTTTCTCCAGAGCCAGCACTCAGTAAGCTTAGCAAAAACACTGTAAACAGGGGGAACAAACTAGCAAATGTGTATAGATGAACATGCCCCACCCAATTCTATTTGGATTGGACGACTAACACTCAGGTTGAGGACAAAATAAATCGTATAATACCAACTGTCATTGTGAAATTAGATGTATTTGTATTGATTGACAGGTACGTATAATGGTTTACTTGAGAACGGTTCAGATGTCGACCATACCCATTATATCTGCAGCAACAAGTTGGATAGACTTTTGCTGTGTTAGACTCACCGTTGTTGACTGACAGAAATGCATAACCTTTATTGCATACATTATCATAAATGTATATTGCTCCTATGTGGCTGTGCTTAGACATTGACTCTGGCGGTATATTTGTTACTCTTAATTACATGTTTACACGCAGCTGCTATAAATATAAACCATCTGTTTAACAGAGTGAATTTTAGGATGTTACTAGCAAATCCATGGGTTTATCTGGTCTTTCACATGTTGTTCTTTTGGTGACATAAGTGTTGCTGCCACGTCTACAGTAGTCCTTAATGACCACCTCTGCTGGTACTCTGTTCCTACAAACAGAACCGCCACTGACTATGTGTGCGTACCTCATACAACCCGACTTTAAACATTACAGACTTTTACTTTAATCAAAGTTTTCCGAAGTACAACATGGAGTATTCCAAAAATTAGACTTGTGTTTGTTGGGCCACATACGGGCAATTAGCTGAGTTAAACCATCTCATGTAACCTGATGTACCCTTCTTCAACTCTTTGAATCTATTTTTAAAAACACTTACAGAAACCGACATCCCTTATACCCAAATCAATCTGCAACAAATTTCAAGCCGCAGCAGCAGCGTACCTAAGCCTAAGCCCTTTGACCAATTTCAAGACGGACAATGGGGACAGATAGCAGGAGTAAGCCTTCCGAATATGTCACAGAGCGGAGACGGCAGCTTCCAGCATAAAGATAAATGATAGAGGACAAGTCACATACTCCCTTAAATCAATGTGAGGGAGCATGAACAGACTGAATCTCAGGCCAATCTAACAACTCGTTTTTGAGATATAATATATTGGTTACATTTGTTCACAGCTGTCCTACCCGAATGGAGGACATAAGGTTGTGGGAAAGGCTACAAATATGAAGTTATTGTTTGTGCCAGCTGGAACAGTTAATAATATATATGTTCACACTACGAATGGGTGATAAGTGAATATGTGTTGTTTTTATGGTTCAGTTACAGTAAAAAAGGAACAGATGGGTAGCAACAATAGCTTTGTTGGAATAAGAGATGGGTTTAAACGATTTCCAGAGAGTGCGTGTAACAAAGCATACAATACTTAATAAAGTAGTGAAATTACTGAACATCCATTTCAAAGAACATGTTCCCTCCTGATTGCTCTCTAAAGATCTGAACTCCGAGTAATGTTAAACATTCATATATGTTATTTAAATCAAGATATGTAGCCACTTTAATTACACAAATGCTAGGCCTTATGAAATGTGGTATGTGTGCATAGAATACATGAGCTAAATATGCAATGTGAAATCCTAGGAAGTACCAATGTTATGCTGAGTTTACAGATTAAAGTATGTGTTTGTTATTCAGTTTAAATCTTAATTATATTTTTACCTGATGGGCTGGGTTGTAACCACGTCCAGCAAACCGATTTGGGTAGCGAGGTCTCGGGCCTCGACACATAGGAGCTGTTGCCCGATAGGGAGGCACTTTGTTTGGGAAGTTATGAGCTGCTGTGAAAGTGAAAAAATTAGTAAACAATTACAAAAACAAAATGATATATGAGAAACAGATATTTTTGAATACAGTCCTTGAAGGTAGTTTCTACTTAACTGATATATATTGAGCTATTAAAGTTCATTAGCTCAGAATTTCACTGCCACACTCATAGGGATTTACACACATGTAACTAGAGCAGTGGTTCCCAAACGGTGTGCCGTGAGGCAAGTCCGGGGGCCTATACTACGAAGCTGGTTCAACCTAACCTGGATATGTTTGAGTTAGCCGGTTGGCCTAATCCAAAACATACGCGCTCTCGCTAAACTGTACTACGACGCTGGTTATCAAGTGGATCGCTCAAGCCAGCCGTTTCCTATCTAGTTAGGTGCGCGTTCACATGAAAGGGGTGGTATTTGGAGCATTCGACCAATCACAAACATGGAGAAGCGTACTGACAGCGCAGCGTCAAACTTCCTGAATGAAAAGTGAACTTTAACACTAGTCAAAAATGAAGAAGTTAAACTTTGAACATCCATGACTTAAACACTTTATCCAGGATCAAAGCCACATAGCTGCACCTGCAAGGTGAATACAGCTGGCAAAAGAAAAAGTGTTTGAATGCATACATTAACAGGTTTATGATATCACTGCCCCGTCTAAAACACGATTTGACTTTAATTACATTTGTCTCGAGTGTTTCGTCAACTTAATGTGTTGCTTAAAATAATACTTCTGCATGCCTATGTGACACTGTGAGTGTTGCACGGCCAGATACGGCTCAGCTGACTCAGATAAGAAAATATATGATACATTAAGTGATATGCCGCGGACTGTACTTAATGTTACTCTGATCCGGTTACTTATGTTGTGGTAGATATGTGGTAAGTGTTCTTAACGCTAATGTTATAATAGTCAGATTGCTCTGAAGATGGGAGGTGATATTCTATTAATGTTCACGTTCACACAGTCGGTGATTTTTGCCGGCCGTCTTTCCTGCGACGGCAGCTTTTCTGTATTTCCTTTCTCCTGTAATATGACTTGATCGCTTTAAACTCCGTACACTGAGCTCTGATTGGTCAGCAGGCAGTGCTTTCACTGAGTTGAGCTCTTAGCCTGCAACCTAACCTGGTCCCGACCAGGTTAGCCGCTAAGCATAAGTTACCATGGAGATCTAGCCTACTAAAAAGAGAACCAGCTTCGTAGGACCGGAAACCCCGAGTTTCCCCTGAATTTATCCGGCTAAGCCAAAATCCTGCTTCGTAGTATACCCCCCGGGTGTGCCGTGGGATTTTGTGACAACCATACGTTATTATTGCAATATACAACTACACAAAAATAATTATTTTTTAATTTACTATATCAGTACTTTGTAGGTTTATATGTACGTAATCTGCGCGATTTGCGCGTCCACATCATGTCCACATCTCCACGTGCAGTGCTGCATAAACATGGCTGAGTCAGCGATAACTTTCGAGGGGTGGAGGCAGGGCCGGCGTCATGGGCGGGCCCCATGGGGCCGGGCCCGCCCATCCAGGATTTGGGCCCGCCCATGAGAAATCAGGGCTGATTAAAAAAAATTATATAAAAATATTTTTTAAATGTTTGTATTATTATGTTTATTGTTGTTATTTGTAGGGCTTTGTCATACCATTTATTTTTGTATTAAACTATGTTGAAACATTAGTATAATATAATTTTTTTATTTTGCTATGAAATTCTGAATGAATCTCTGTGCGCGAGACTGGTTTTTCGCGGGGTTGAGTTGTGTGTGTTTTTTTTTTTTAAATGAGACGCATCACAGCAGCCTGTCAGTTTACTGTGGCGGTTAGTTTGGCTAGGCTATTATCCTTTTTTATATGTATCGGCAACAATGGATATTAGGAAGTGGTTCACGAACAATAAGAGCTCACAAAAGGATTGTGGCACTGACAACTCAGCACCAGATGCTGGCAACTTGACGTGTCTCCCGCCACCTGTTCCTTCTCCTCCACCAGGTCCCGAGTCAACGTTGTCAGACGAAGCCTCTTCGGGGCCGGGCAGGAGCAGCAGTTCAACCTTTAGCAGCCCAGGCCCAGCTCCCATTCTAAACGCTCGTGATCTTGGAGATTTTAGTTTTCTAGTTCCAGAGGACCTTGGCGTGGATACACCAAAACAGGTAGTCCTGGATAGTTTCCCCTCTCGGCTCTTCTCCGGGAAAAAACGTAGTTTTGCCAGCTCATGGTACCAAAACCGACCCTGGCTTGAATACTCCGTAAAAGGCGATGCTGCGTACTGTTTCCCATGCAGAAAGTTTAAGGCTCATCATCATGACGCATCGTTCACCATAAAAGGCTTCAAAGACTGGAAGCATGCCTTACAAAAGGGCACGGGTCTTAGCAAACACAGCTCTTCCAAGGAACATTTAGTCTGTGAGAAATTGTGGAGAGAAAAACAAATGCGCATCGAGACTGGTCAGGAAATCACAACTCTTGTCAACAAAGATCAGCTGGCTCGTAACAAATATTACGTGGGCTCCATTATTGACATTGTGACTTTTCTCTCTACCAGCAATCTTCCTTTCCGAGGTGACCACGACTCTTTAGAGTGTATGTCCAAGTCTGGCAGTGGGTTATTTTTGTCATTGTTTGAGTATACCATCGAAAAGGACCCAGAACTCGCGAAAATTGCCCCCACCATTCCCAAAAATGCTACCTACATAAGCCATGATATACAAAACGAAATAATTGACCTGATGAGCAAAGTTGTAATGGAGCATATTGTTGAGGAAATAGGCGACTCCTTTTACACTGTCAAAATGGATGGAACCCGAGACCCAACAGGCTGTGAAAACATTTCAATTGTACTGCGTTTTGTTGATGAGAAGGAGTAAGTCTTATGTCGGGGAGACACGGTGGGGTTCAAAGACTCCTTCAAGATGAACTGGGCAGAGAAATCCCATATGTGCACTGCTTCAACCACCAGCTGCACTTGGTCGTTGTTCACGCCATGTCCGGTGAGAGAGCCATTGAGGATTTATTCAACATCTGTAATGTCCTCTACAAGTTCACACGAAAGCCCACCATTGCTGCACATTACCAGGGAAACACGCTGAAGCGTTTACTCGAACAGCGCTGGACAGGGCACCTGGCCACTGTTCAGATTATTCTGAAATATTTTCAGGATATAGTGGAACTACTACGACACGTTGAAAACTCTGCATCATTTCCAGCTGACTTGAGGATGGAGGCAGCAGGCTTGCTGAGCAGAATTTTAAAGCCAAGCTTTAAATTCCACACCCAGATAATATGCAAGATATTGTCCCTGCTTGAGCCAGCTAACAGGATGATGCAGTCAGAGGAAATGGACCTTCAAACGGCAGTACAGCTTGTCAACACTGCCAATGAGTGTGTTGAGGCCCTGCACACCGAAAAGGTGTTCACGGAGATGTGGAGTGAGTGCGCACAGGAGATGTGGAGTGAGTGCACACAGGAGAGAGCGGATGATACTATCCATCCCGGTCCCACCAAGAGAAGGCGAACTCTTAACACAACTTTGGAGGATTATGTTGTTGAAGAGACAGTGGGAGTGGGAACACAAGAAAACCACCAGATGACAGAGAAACGGCGGCTGTTTTACAGCTGCATTGATGCAGTTACGGGAGAAATTGCGCGCCGCTTTGGAGAGCGAAACAGCGCATTCATGGAGGCTATTGCTTCACTCAACCCGGAAAGCAGCTTCTTCCTGGAGCCCGAAAAAGTGGAACCTTTGCTTAAACTGACTGGAACCACGCTCGTTGATGCTGAGTTCATTGTGGCCAAAAAGCTGATTCTGAAACACGTGGACAGCATCACACCACCAGAGGATGGGAAATGGACATTGAAAAACATACTTGGTCATCTCCACACGACGCTTGAGGCAATGCCAAGTGTTCTCACCGCATTTAAGGTTTCACTTACCTTTGGAGCTTCGACAGCTTTATGTGAGAACTCTTTTTCCACACTGAAAAACGTTTTCAGTGAGCACCGAAGGAGCATGTCTCACACTCGGAAAGCAAATTTAATCCAACTTGGTTTCGAGAAGGACCTGACAAAAAAATGCAAGAATGAGTGGAAAGAGATGTTGCTGAGGAGGTTCCATTCATGTGGGAAACGTCGGCTACAGCTTTATTAGGCCCACCCTGAGTACATCGTGTAAGTAGCAAACAATCATATCACGATGTAGACTAAGCCGTTGTTTTCAAGCTTTAATGTGAACAAAATATTGGGTATTTTTCAGTGTGTTCTTTTCACTGTATGTTTGCCAATATATTTGTTATTTGTTATTTGTTTAATTCCACTTCTTTACGCCAAGAGACACACCTCTGCTTTAAAGTAGTTCGTGCAAACTGATGTTTAACATGTAATTTTCTCCTGATGCTCATCCTCTGAAATTAAAATACATTTGCATATTATATTTGTATATTTTCTGGCAGTATTCTGTTTTTTGCTGCATAACTAAAGCCGTCTGATATTCTATTAAATCTTTAAATGTTAACAGCCTTGACTCAATACATTGTTTTTTCTTAGTACATTATGCAACATTCTCACAGCTTTTTTCTGTAATGTAATTCAATGTTTTAAATTACTCATAGGTAATCCATCCATGGTGCTGAAGTAGCGTTATTTGTGTGCCTCTATCCTGAGCACATGTGTACATTTCCTATGCTCAAAAGGTTTCATTGCGTGCACAAACATAACGCCTAAATCTGTCTGCAACTATATATGCACATATGTTACGTTAAAATGGGGTGGGGCCTGGTGGTCGGGGGGTGGGCCCGCCCAGGTAAATCAAATGCCCGCCCAGAGACGTATGTCTGCCGCCGGGTCTGGGTGGAGGTATGCCCATTATTTTGAGTTCGTCCGAAGAATAGACAGGAATGTGACGGTGAGGTGCAAACTGTGTCCAGGCCAGAAGCTGTTAACCACTGCTGGAAAAACCACGTCAAACCTCAACAAACACCCCCAAAGAACACATGCTTTTTTGTTTATATCACGTAGTCTGTACTTCTTCTCTGTTTTCCGGTTGTTGCCTGTTATGAATGACAAATACACACTACCGCCGCTTGCTGGTAAGGAAAGTTATTGCCACTCACGCATGCGCAGTTCGTACGTGCTCGGCGAGTAAAGTAACGAGTTACTTTATGTAGATAGTAACGAAGTAGTGTAATATTTAATATATTACATTTTTTTAGTAACGACCCCATCTCTGGAGTTGGCGTTCTCTACTCTGATTTACATGAAGAACAACAGGAGGTCACGGCTCTCTGTTGAACAGGACTTGCGAGTGGCTCTCTCCTCAGTGCCACCAAGGATTAAAAAAATCTGCGCGCCCCGACAGGCACATGTATCTCACTAATTTGTAAATCGGCAAAAATATTTACAATAGCACATGTTTCAATGCTGATTGTTGAAATGTTACATTTATCATTTGTAGTTCAGGACCATGGCCAATGCAGCTTCCTTGCATTGACAGTTCTCTGTGCTGAATTTCTGCTGAGTTTCCTTTGCCTCATTTTTAATTTTGTGAACTGTCTGGTTTAAATGAGTGTGTTGCTGCTTTGATGAAGCCTAATTTGATAAAGTTTCAAATTAATTTCTGAAATATTTCGTTAATAAATATTTCATGAGTAATATAGTTGTCTTTGTCACATTTTATTTGGCATTAGTAAATAATTATGCACATTTACAGATATTTTACATGATATGAGTGATAACACGTGTTATAAGGGTTATTTTGCACAATAGGTGTGCCTTGAGATTTGTACTTGTCCTTTGGTGTGCCTTGGGCACAAAAAGTTTGGGAACCACTGAACTAGAGCATTGAGATTTGCCTATTTTTCAAATGCACAAACTTGCACGGTTTTCACAGTGGTTACATCATAAAACGTCCAAACATTCTTGTCACTTTTCCTCTGGTGCAACACATTCAAACACGGCCCAAATCCGATTTTACACAGAAAACGTCCTTTTGTGGAGCACTGCAAACATACAGTATCAGAGAAGCAACTCCTTCAGAGGCAACTGACTAGATCATTCCATTTAGCTGATGGTATCCACAGACTTACAAGATTGATCAGGCACATTTGAAAAACCTAATTTGACTGGATGACTTTAAGCATAAATGTAAAGTAATTCAAATCTCTGAGCTGTCAAGGCACATTTGATGAGTGACAAGGCTTGAAAGCAAAGTTTGAACGTTTTCCAGTCACACATAAAAACCACGGTATGGTAACTGCTCTATAGCCGTGTGTGACTTGCAACATATAATAGCGATCAGGAGGATTTATTGCAAATACGATGTGATAATAATATACAGTATAACCTCTTACATGCATTTCTGTTTGATCTCTGCTTTACAACTGACTAGATTACTTGTCTGTGTTGTTAAATTGCCACTTTATTATTCATGTCAATATCAGACCAAACTGTGCCAGAGATCTGTCAGTGTTCGCCGTTGAGCTTGATAAAAGGCACAAACTAATTGATGCCACAAACAGTAACACTACCACTGGTGTGACATGGATACCACCAATCAGCTCGACTGCAGCCTCATTTGCATGTGGTAAATAATCTCAAATTGAATTCCACGATTAATTTGACAATGATATATTGATGTTTAAAAATGCTACACACGGACCCTTTGATGCACAGTGCATAAAGGGCGAGAGGACGTAGTTAGTGTTGCAAAATAAATGCGCTCAACGAGTGATGATCATGATGAATTCTTCATGCGGCCCACCGTGAAACATTATACTCACACATCTCTCAACTCACACACACACACACACACACACACACACACACACACACACACACACACACACACACACACACACACACACACACACACACACACACACACACACACACACACAGGCCAAAGATGCCAAGGTATAAGCTTACCTTTGGCTCTGTTAATGGTAACTATCTGCTGAAGGATAGAAGGTCTGGCTTTCTCCTGAGGGGCAGCTGCTTGCTTCATGCCCTCCTTGGCAGCGCTCGCCCAGGTCCTGGCATTAACACACACGCCATCTGCACCTGCAACTGCAATACGCCCAGCAAGGGGGCAAGGATTAGCACACTTTATCCATTTTACATGCACACCCTCTTTGTCTGGCCTGTGTCATGTTAAGTGTGATGCAGATGGTAAGCTTAATAGAAGTGTGCTAATTTACGCTGCAAAGGAATTTTCAGCAGCAGTCCCCCTCGGGGATCAACAAAGTGCTATTGAATCAACAGGGCTATGCTATCATAGAGTCAATTCTATCAAATCAGCACTGACTGCATACTGCTGGAGGAATGCCAGCAGTATCACAGAAGCACATTTATTGAGCAGAGCAGGCTTCAGGTTTAGTCGAGCACCTGTTAAGGAAGCAGAAGGGAATTCAAACGGATCTACATATATCTGATTTTCTTTATGATCCTAGCATGAACATGTTCTCAAGGTGAAAAAGCTATTTAGGTTGGAAAAGTAAAGGTGTGACCTCGTTGCAAATTGTGCAGCAGATACTGTATTACTGTACACGTCATACTCCTTACTAAAATGACTAAAGTGTGCTTAAGTTGCCGTTGACTTAATTCATATCTGAGTCCACTTTTATTTATTTTGCACCAACAGCCATAATGGAAGGCTCACCTTGTAATTCACTTTGCCACTGCACAATAATCCCCTCATTATAAAAACATTTTCCCACTGAGTCATCCGACTGAGGAAGTACTTCTCTGCAACGCCGATGCGGAGTCACAGCGTGTTATCACCTAAACAGTGACGCTGTGTGTGTGTGTGTGTGTGTGTGTGTGTGTGTGTGTGTGTGTGTGTGTGTGTGTGTGTGTGTGTTTGCATGTGGGTGGTTGGGGATTACACGTGGCACAGAGCGCTGCCCCCTGATGGATTAAGTGGTTCTGATTTGGCTGTTTTGCTGTCAACACAACTTCGATTCAAGGTTCAGAAAAGTTAACAAAGTAGTGACGTTAAGCCACCTGCTATGTGGCAAAAAAGAGGTTCATTATATGTGTTTTAAAAATGGCATAGAGAAAAAGGGTAACATTTTGGGGGCTGGACTTTTGCTAAATGTGCAACTTCTGAGAGAATGTCTGCCTCGGACAGGTGCTGCTGCCTCTCTCCTGCCTTTAATTAGCAGTGTGTGACAGGGCTGTTTGTGTGAGCTCGTGCATTTGTAGCTCCAGAGACTTAAAACTATACAATTGTATCCAAACCAACTGATAGAAGTGGAAGCATATGAAGAGCACGGCAAGGCAGACACACTGTGGATTTATTACCTCTAGGAAGCGGCTGGTTGTTGGCCTTTAGTTCATCACAGTCGGGGCCTGGAGAGATGCATCGGCCGGCGGAGCCAAATGTTTGAGGGTCCAGCACAGATTTCTGGTCTCCTGCACAGATGGAAGAGACCTCGTGGGGTGCATTTTCCTTCTGCCTCTGATGGGTAGCCCCACTCTCTTGGCATTGGATTTGTGAGTGAGTATGCCCTCCTCTCCCCTCTTCACCTTTGGTCTTGGGATTCCCATCGTGCAATAAACCCAGCGCTTTATTTCGGGGCTGCAGAGCGGGAAAGTCGGCCTGTAGGTCGTAAGCCTCCTGTTGAGTGGGGGCTTCTGGTGGTGCCATCTTTTTTGTGTCGGCCTGAGGCGCTTCTGCCTTGTCTTGGACAGGAGCCTGTGCATAGGTGGTCACTTCTTTTGCCATAGTTGCAGCAGGGATAGCATGTGGGTGGAATAAAAGGGGAATATCCCACTGGCTATGCATCTTCCCTGAGGCTGGGGGCGCTGTGGGACATGGGAGAACGCCAGCCTTCACGGTATATAGAGGAGGAAAGTCTTTCTCTGTGCTAGAAGAGCAGGATTTCTTCTCGCTGTGGGAGCTTGATTCATTAACTGGGCGTGGGATTTCTTTTTCATCTTCCCCGATGTCATTGTTTTCATTTTTTGACTCACCATCATTGCTATCAGTGCCACAACTTCGCACCCCAGGTAGATCTACAGAGGTGTCATCATCGCTAGAACTGCTGTCAGAGCTGCTACTAGTATCTTTCTCATCTTCGCTTTCACACGTCTCCCTGGCTACTTTCGAAGGAAGTGGAGGTTCTTCCTCTTCCTGTGGGGTTTGGTCCTCAGTGGCAGAGCAGAGGGGATTTGTCGCCAGAGGTGGAGGCTCAGTTACACAGCTCTGTTTTGCTCTTCTGCTGGTGCATTGTGGGACGCACATCTTCTTGAAGAAATGTTCCATCCTCCATTGTTGATCTCCGGTGTAATCAGTCTGACATGACGGAGAATCGTAAACAACAGAACATGTTTATATCGCTTCATTATCAGGCTTGTTATAGAATAGAGGTAATAGTACAAGTAAACCACGACGGGAAACAACTTTGGCTTTCAAAGACGTCATGCTCACCACATTTATTTTCCCCTTTGCCTCTTCCTCATTTCGTTGTATCTCTTTTTTCATCTCAGGGTTCACTACCCGTGCAGGCTTGGCAATATGGGGCTGATTTCGGCCCAAGAGATAAGGGCAAGGGAGGATAAAGGCAGTGCGGTTTTGATGTTTTTCCTCCTCATATCGTGTGCTCTGACCCAAATCATCTGCCTGTTTCTCCTCAGCCCTAGACCAGAAGAGAGAAAGACAGTATGGCGGGTTAACACATCTGTAAAACGTGAAATCACAACCACTACAATGTGTAGCGGTGGCAAATAACTTCATGTCTCAAATAGCATTTTCCGGAGTATACATTTCAGGTGACTCCTAGTTTGGAATCTCATAATTATAGTGATCCTGTGGTGTGAAGAAAAGGTCATTTGGATTGTGAACATGTTCAAGAGATGTCTGCTTTGTACATCATATGTTAAGGATACACCTGTTTACCAAGAAGCTTGTTTTGGTAGTGCATAATATTCTAACCTTATTGGATGACCTAAAGGTTAGCCAGGTGATACTGTTTGCCTATCCATAGTTTTGTTGTCACATTGGACTGGATTTTTAGTTGTGTTGCCTCAAGGAGGAGGAAGCATTGGGTCCGTGGCTCCATCCTTATGTGTGGTGTGTCACCTGCTTCAAACCATCACTTTTGAATGAGGCTACTCTTTAGTCACCATCCTGTTGGCTGTCGAGCAGCGATGCGTAACAGACGGTCCGTTGGGACACGGGATGCTTATGATAACGGAGACGACATGAAAGCTCCGGGCGGCCGCTGAGCAGATGGTGTACATTAACATTATACAGAGGGTCTGTGACCGCACAGCAGCCCTACACTGTGATGTTGAGATCAGGGTTAGAAATAGGCCTTAACTTATCATCCATACTACCATCAGGTCATTTTATATAAGCCCATCCAATTCAAGCATTAATGTATAGTCTTCTAAAATTACTGTGTAGGCATGGCTTATAACCAAACTACAGGTCAAAAGTATAAAATGTAATATAACGTTTTTCTTAACAATTTAACATTAAAAGTATGGCTAGAGAAAGAAATCATGACACTATGACTTTGCACCTCTCGTTAGCGCAGACATTGCTGCTTGTTTGAGTAAGCATATATTCATGTCTTACCCACATTTATAAACGTCTACTACAAAGAACTTCTTCCTATCAATTGCGTATATATTAAGCATTACTAAGAAATACAAAATAATAATGCTTTTACTACTTATTAAGTCTTGATAAAGACTTAAATGGGATAGTATACCAATGGCATTTTCCTAAATCAATATACTTTTAGTCATTGGCACAGGCAAATAAAACCACACTCACCATACAACATACAATTCATACACAACAAAGGGAAATGGCATCTTAAGTGATGATTTGTAATACTGCAACTATAGGCTATACATATTGCAACATTTTCATTAGTGGGTCATGAGCCCAGCCACAATTGTGTAGATTGTGTCTTACATGAGATTACCACTTTAAATACAATATGATACACATGGATGTGCATAATTTAACCAAACACTGTGTACTCATGTAAAGGTAATGTAGCAGATAATAGAGACACATCTATTGTAAAAACAAAAAAAACGACATATGACTGTTTTGTGTTGATTTGTGTGTGTAACCAGTTATGCATAATGGGGGTGCTGGTGGTCCCCAGGCTGTGACCAGCTCAGCCTTACCGGTGACTCTGTGTGATGTCTCGAGCCTTGAAGGTTTTATCCAGCTGTATCTCAGGTGAACTTTGACCCTCCTTTGCTCTTTTCCAGATGATTTCACAGACACGATCAAAGTTGTCACGTGGCACGTGGGGATGAATCCAGGTGGAGCGCGGAAAAGGTCCAAGTGCACTCGCGAACATGCGTGGATGATATGATAGCATATTGTTCTCTCTGGTCCTCGCACACATGAGCTTGTCCATGATCTTTGTCAGTTTTCCTAAAGCGTCCAATTGTTTGTTTTTAACCGTCTTTTTGAAAGGAAACATTCTTTGATGCATTCTTTTCATGCTGTCATAGCAACCGCTAAGAATTTGAGATGAATCAGTCCATTCCTTTATCTTATAGTGTGTTAGTATATGATCTCTAATAATGAACCTATCTGAGTGATTCTGAGAATATGGGTTAGATGTGTGCGATAATGCTGCACACCTTACCTACACACACACACACACACGCACACACACACACACACACACACACACACACACACACACACACACACACACACACACACACACACACACACACACACACACACACACACACACACACACACACACACACACACACACACACACACACACATTGGCCCCTCATATTGTTTACCATCGTAAATCATTTAGTAACACACACGAATGTATCCAGAAATTGAATCTGTGTTGCAGAACGACATGTCGAGGAGGAACATGAGCACCCCACTGTTGGCAAAGTTTAATTTAATGTGGGGAGGACTATTTATGACTCCATCTTAGGGTTGAAGGCCAACGTGCATTTCATTATCCCGACTGTTTCCATGCACGGAGCATTGTGGAAAACTAATTATAACGGTCATAAGCAAAAGTGGAAATGACATTCAAATTTACTGTCGAGGGTTCCAGCCTGTTAAGCATCAATTTCACGTTAAGTGAGCAGGAAGTGGACATCTATGTTAAACTGCCGGGCAACCCCATGATTGTTTTTAATGGATGGAGACAATGGCCTCGTTTTGGACCCCTAAATCTTACCATAACAAATTGGAACACGGTGGAGGTCATTTATTATAATAACTATTAATATTATGATTTTTTTAATTACATTTGTTTTTTTATCTTCTGGATTTAAATATATCTAATCTAGTATATCAGCAGCAGCATCAGGCAACCACCAGACTCAGGGACAGTGTTGTGCCTCAGGCCATACGACTGCTAACCTCCTGAGCTTGCAATATTTTTTTTTGTATACATGTTTTTTGTAAGTCTTGTATTGCATTGTTTGAAGAAGCTGTGACTCACCTTCTTCATTACACAACTATTGTAGCTCTGTATAAATGTTTGTTTGCCTTTATTTTAAAAATAAATGGAGCAAATTAGAGCTCAACATTATTTTTGAAAACGTGGTAATATCTAATTCTAGATGCTACTGAGAGTGGGAGAGAGAGGGAGGGTGAGATGGAGAGAGAAAGGGAGGGTGAGAAAGAGGGGGAGAGAGAGAGAGAGAGGCGCGCAGAGATCGAGCAGGTCTGCAGTCTGATTCTTGGCGTCGCACAGTCCTGAGACGAAGCTGTGGCCAAGCGCCGCAATACTGGGAATACACACTGCATATTCCTCTCTATAGTCAGATCACTGACTACACTACAACGCTGGAGAACTTCTAAAACGAGGCGATTTTCTCTTGGATCCGGATACCCTCTTTGGCTCTCCATCATTCGTCGTTTCGTTCATTTTAATCTCGGTCTAATGATGAGTTTAAATGTGGAATATCGGCACCGCAAATGTTGTTAAATGGAGATAAAATAAAGAGAAGGACACATAAGTACTGCGGGGAAAACTGAAGGAGGGATCTCCTGGGTTTTTTTCTACCTGTGCTTGGTAATTTCATATGTGGAGCGGACGTGGGATTGTCGGGATCTTTTTTACGCGTGTTGGGTAGATCAGTGACCACTTGAATCACGTATCCCCCTTGGTTTGCCTTCCCTCCTTTTCTCCCCCTTTAGGTTTGAAATCTATCTTCTCAGATAGAGACTCTGAACCCCTCGGTCCCCGCATGACATGGTTCAGTCCAGCTGCGAGATCCGAGCCTCCTCCATGCATTGGGATTTTTCTCAGCACCGACACCGAGTGAATCTCCTCTTTTTGACCATCTGAGAACTATCGTGCCTGCCAGACCCGAGAAACAGCCCCTGACATGACTACAAACCGGGAGGTAGCACCGGGACTTGTGAGGAGACCGGAATGCGCATACAGGAAAGCGGACGGAATACGGATTTTTGCTATAATGAAGTCGGGAGTGCAGGTGCACCATTGGAGCCGGGTGCTGTTCCTATATATGGGGCTACTGGCCGCCTCAGTAAAGGGTAAGTCCCCGTCTATACAGCTGAACACATGCAAAATGCAGCAGGCTTACCCCACTCCTCCGCCCACCCTCCACGATCCCCGGACTGAATGCAAATCAGCAACACACACATACATACTTACATCCTAAAGGCGCATTTAGGAGCAACCTTGCTGTCCTAATGTCTCCGTTCTAAAGACAAAAGTTATTAATAGAGAAGAGCTGCATGGTTGGGGAGCTATTTTTGTGACAGTGGATCCTCTGGAATTACTGAACCTCTGACTCTGTTGATGCGTTTCATTACATGAATGTTTTAAAGGAAATAAAGGGGGATTGGATGAGCTTCTTTCATGATTTGATAAGCATCATGTGTGATAGCTGCTTCCTATACATGAGGTTGTGTAATGGTACGGATGAACGTTGGCCTGGCATGAGGACATCAGTTGATGTGGTCAAGCAGGCTGCTGATTATCATGCTGTTCAGAGTCCTGTAGTGTGGGTGTGTGTGTGTCTTCTTTCGAGTGTGTGTGTGTGTGTGTGTGTGTGTGTGTGTGTGTGTGTGTGTGTGTGTGTGTGTGTGTGTGTGTGTGTGTGTGTGTGTGTGTGTGTGTTGTTCTTCTTCCTGTTTGTTCCCTCTTATTCCCAGCAATTTTAAACGATTTTTAAAAAGCATGTTGTGTGTAGTTCGATCCCCCTCAGTCTTTCTGTGTGGGTGTCTGTGTATGGGTGCGCGCGCGTGTGTGTGTGTGTGTGTGTGTGTGTGTGGTGTGTGTATGTGTGTGTGTGTGTGTGTGTGTGTGTGTGTGCGTGTGTGTGTGTGTGTGCGCGTGTGTGTGTGTGTGTGTGTGTGTGTGTGTGTGTGTGTGTGTGTGTGTGTGTGTGTGTGTTGTGTGTGTGTGTGTGTGTGTGTGTGTGTGTGTGTGTGTGTGTGTGTGTGTGTGTGTGTGTGGTGTGTGTGTGTGTGTGTGTCTGGTGGGGGCAGGCCTAATTAACTGACTGGGTTTTCTGCACTTGATTAATTGCAAATGGAAATCTTGCAACCGGAGCTGGGCATTCAACAGATTATCATTACTATTAATTTACTTTCACGTCTTCAAAACATAATGTGTTTCTGAAAGGAGAGGCTCAGCAACTGATCCATGGATTTTACTTTATTCTTTCCGTGGAAATTAATAACAAAAGCCCTGTGGCGTTATTTAGAGCCTATGCATTTCGGGGGGAGAACCGAAATCATTTTTGCCATCCCAGAGCAGGTCCTTTAGAAAATCAATCCAACCGTTTTATCACTGTCTTGGCTCCACACCACAGAATGGGCACTATTTTTAGCAAAAGACGAGAATACTGCCATGGCCACAATATGAATTTGACCGTGAGTCATGGCTCCGTGTTCGCCCACTCATACCTTTTGGTTATACAGCACATGATCCACGAGTGAGTGGAAACTTGGCACCTTTTCAACATAACTGAAGCACATCAGGTGTCATGCTGCATAAGTGTGCTTTGAGCTTGATAATTACTATTCTACAGAAACGTCATCCCTCAAGTCTCCCACCAAATATCTCCCACTTGTCACCCACTTGTGACCAAACTCGTGTTATCAACCACCCAGATGGTTTCTGGTGAGTTGTGGGTTTATCACACATACAGCTGAGTGCCCAATGATACTGACAAATCTTCCTCGACTTTCATGTGGAGTAAATCTCATTGCGGCTATATTCGTAGGAGGCTTCTTGTTTTATTCGCGTCCGGGGAGCTTTTTTTATTGCCCACTCGCTGGCCGTTTTCGTCTACTCCTGGAGCCAGTAAAGCGACTCTAACTTATTGCACATATTTACAAAGAACGGGAAAAGTTGGACCATCTATCTTACCGTCTGTAACAACATTTACTTTAAATTGTGTCAATAAATATGTTTGAATACCACACGCCTGCGTGGAGGTGGTCTGGCGCGTCCCTCGGTGCAGCTGCAGCCACCAGCAATAGCCCCATCCTCCCATTGAGCGGCACCAGAGCCTCACGCTATGCTGAGAGGCGGAGTGGGGAGGGAGGAGAGGACCTGGGGATCGTGGCATTTCTCTGCCCACGTACTACATCAAACCGAAGCAAGCCTTGCCAATTAATGACCAACAGTGTACAACAGATACATGATGTCCAAATGGAAAGGCTGCTCATTTCCAGGCTGTGTTTGACGTGTCGTCAGATAATAATGCTTTAATACTTCATTTGTCAACTCACTTTACGCACGTTTCCTGTTAACCCATTTATCATTCCCAAGGGCCCCAGAGATAGAGATGTGCGAACGGTTTTTTTAAACAGAGATATTGAAGAGAGCAGTGTCTCCATGGGATTTAAACCAACTGTCCCAGTGGACCCGTCACTCAATAAACGGTAATAAACCTCCATTCATCTAATCGCACACGAGGAGAGGATGGGGGGAGAGGAGGATGGAGGAGGCAGATTGAGGATGACGTGTCTTGCCTATCTCGTGCGTGTTCCGGCTCTCCACGCCAGCTCCACCAGTATTAGATCATCCGTCAGCGGCGCATAAGACAGTAGCTCAGCATGTCCATTTATACGCAAGATCACGCTTCGTTGTCCTCTCCTCTCTTCCACGAGCTATCCTTTATTCTACTCATGATGCAACTTGCAGTAATGTTATGAAGACTGGAGGTCTCGATGCCCCTTTCCTTTTTTATCTTTTTTACTTCATGACATTTGTTTGTATTCGCACCGTCATGAAAATTCATGACGTCATGAATTTTTCCTACTGAAAAAATAGGGTGGGGGGGGATTTATGATTTTCGAGGCAATAATTAATTGACAAAAAAGTCGTTCAAGATCCACAAATTATAAAGGAAATTCATTTTTAAGACCTTCGAGCACATCAAAAAGGCCAAAAACCTATAACTAATATATACTTCATGAGAAATGGGCGTAGAATATTTTAGTTTAATATGACTTTCTCTTACACTATTAGAAGCCTACAGGAATGGTCATGTGACATCAGATAAAATGACTAGTAATTGAGTGGAAGACTTTCATCAGAAACTCACCGAAGAGATAGGATTTGAGCACCATGGACAGCTGAGTTTGAGCTCAGCTGAAGTTCTCTTCAGAACCACGGTCAGCTCCTCCAGCCAACAGCCCCAGAACCAGCTGCTCCTCAGTGGAGGGCTAGCTGGCTCTGTAAATAGGGATGTCTCCAATGTTTTCATGGCTTCTTTCCCTCAATTAGACACAGACTTCAGACCACTATTTGTCAAGATCATATGATAATGTTTTGCTCCTTGAGTTTGCACTGGATTAGTTAACTGTTCTACATTTAAAGCGTTGAGATAAATCGCTGTCACATTCATAGACTATCTAATTGACATATTAATTAGTGCTAGCATGTTGATGGAGTCAAAAAAAACATGACCTAGTTCAGAGTTCTCAAATGTGCAGATGTGCTGTTTATCTTTGTTTCATGACAAACTAAATATCTTTCAAATGTCGGTTGGACTAAACCAGCAATTTGTTAACTTCAGTAAATTGACGTTTAAACCAGATTCTTACATTTTATTTGCTCACATGAAAAACAGTTGACAGATTGCTTGATAATGAAGTCATCTGTAGTTCAACCCTTAGCATGCAGTGTCTCATATTTGCTGGAAATCCTCAGCATCGTGCACATTCATGTTGATGCCAAGCCCCATGTTGTATCAGAAACTTCACATGCAAGGAATTAGCCTTGGTGTTTGGTAAATCAACATGGACGCCCTGTGTTGCCTACTTGATAATTGTTGGCTAAGATGTGCGGAAACTAAACTAGAGATGTTTCAGGGTTCTTATGAACATATTCCCAATCACAGGGCGGAACATTTTGTATTGACTCCCAGTAGTTCAGCAAACCCAATATGTCTTCCCATATGTGTTTGATCATGAATATTTGGGCATCTCGATTCCCTTTGCTTCTCATTCATCTCCCGCCTGTCTGTTTATATTCTCAACCTCAAATCCTCCACTACCTGCACACTCTGTTGCATCCCATCTGCTCTCTACATTCACTGTTGAGCAATAAAGGGAGGAATTAGAGCTGAACAACAGATGAAGTTATATATTTACTCAAAACGGAGAAATGTCTGAGAATACAAATGAGTATAAGTGAATTGCCAGGTTTCCTGCTTGAGCCAAAGAGGATACAAATGGTTTGGAGTGGGAAGTAAAGTATTGGTCAAGATAAAGATGGAAATCATGAAGAGGTGGCACTGGGAGGGATAAACAGCAGGACTGAATCCACTGTGAGAGGAAACGAGAGGCAGAGAGGGGAGACGAGTGTTGGAGTAGAGGGGTGATAAGCTTACACCAGCTGAGCGATAATCCAAGCCCTATGTTTCTGCGCCTTTTGAGTGCTGGTTGATCTCCTTTCTTTAGTAAATTATCTATTTAAAACTCTCATTTTCTTATCAGGCATCAAGCAGGCTCCTATTTCAATAACTAACAGCGTGTAAGTAAGCTTGTGTGTGTTTGATCTGCCATCCCCTATTCACTAGGATGATTAGACTAAAGTGTTGACAAGCAGGTCATTAGCTAAAAAAAGGGCCACTGAGAGAAAGGATGTGAGTCTGTCCAGCTTTTACAGGATGACATTTCTCCGTCATTATCAGCTCCCTTATTTCACCTGCCAGCTGATGTATCACCCTCATCTCTCTCTCTGTCTCTCCCTCACACCTTCTCCTTCTCTCCTCCCCCTTTCTGCCTCCATCCTCCTCTCTGGTGATTCACACTGTCACGTCTCTCCAGATGGCCAGAGCTCTGTCACTGTGCTTCGTCACACCGATCACAGCCACACAGTGACTCACACAAACTCAGTCACAAATTCATGCAGAATCCCCCAAAAATAAAATCTGAAATGCGTACTAGCAGCCTAACACACACACACACACACACACACACACACACACACACACACACACACACACACACACACACACACACACACACACACACACACACACACACACACACACACACACACACACACA